GCAAAATGTTTAGAATGTTGGAGGCAGGACTCAGGCAAAGCAGCCAGTGGATAGGGAGACCCTCTGAATGACAGATCAGAGAGCGAACTGATTTTGGAGCGTGTGGAATGTTCTAGAGAAGTGCCACCACCATTCGGCTATTATTTATAAGGGAGATTAAAAAAAATATAAAAATATAAAATTAGTGATAATCTTGGTAAGACTATACCCATGACATCTTGAATATTTCTGAATATTGCACCAGAATTCTTTACAACCGTAACATTCCAACACGTGGAAATAGGTACCCAGTTGCTTCTCACATCCCCAAAACATATTTGAAACCATTAAAGACATTTTTTACAACCTAGATTGTGTATAATGTGTGCAGAGTCTCAACCAATTTATGGTGACCCCCATAGGGATATCAAGGCCAGAGATATGTGTTTGCCATTGCCTGCCTCTGCTTAGCCAGCCTAGACTTCCTTGGTGTTCTCCCATCCAAGCACTAACCAGCTTAGCTTCTGAGATGTGTTATCAGGCTAGCCTGTCAACCTCTGTTGAATGGCAGTATGTACAACTGGAGCATCTGTTGGTATCTAAAATAATTCCCTGCAGGAAATGTTCCAGAATCTCCCTTACTCTTGGAAACTCTCATCCGGACTAATTTCCACTCATTTCCTTCATGGCTTTCCTGATGATCCCCTATCCCCAAAGCTTCTGGTGGCAGTAGTGGCATACCTCTGGGTCAGGGTTGTGGCTTTTTACCATTACTTGGATTACATCCTAATCTTCTTCTGGTCAGTTCAGCAGAGACTGCATGATATTAAAACTACCAAGTCATGTGTGAAGGATCTATGGGACTCCATAACTGTACACTAATGAGTGATCAGACAGTCTTATATGTCTTTGGGGAATTGATACGAGGAGAGGAAAGACAAAGTAATAACATTCTTCTAGTTTTATCGAAATTATATGGCAAACATGGAAGATCTGACAAAACCCCTGGAGATGCTGGATGCTTGCTAGAAAGTAGTAGCTTTATCCAGAAACTTCACCACTTCTGAGTTTTCTGCTATGGTTGTCATTCAGACTAAACTTCTGAGAGCCATACTTGAGGTCCTCGCTGTGTTCCTAATGCAGTTTTGTGTCTAGCGGTGGGTTTAATTTCTCTGGAAGCTTGTGCATGAATACACAGGATCAATTACCGGCTGAAACTTGTTTTCACTCTTGTGGGTCTTGCACCTTTAACATTAACAGGCAACTTTCAGTCAAAATGGAAAAGGTCTCTTTCAGAGAAATTACGATCCATTGGATATTCTCCTAGCAGCTTAATAACCTTGGGTTATTGCAAAGCTAAATCTGAAATCAAGCAAAGGATTTGGGACATCGAACTTCAACACCACTTAAGTTCTGCTGCAAAATACCATCACTTAAGGAACAAGAAATTGGCATTGTCAAACTATTTATCTAATCTGTTGATTTCCAAACACAGGCTAGCTTTCGCTCTGATCTGTGTCAATGTTCTTCCGTCCCCTTTGATAGAAGCGAGATACCATGGCGTTGCCACTTGTGCCACTGGGGAAATTGAAACAGTTAGACAAGTGCTGCTGCACTGCACCTTCTATAATGGCCTTAGATATAGATTTTTTACACCCATTCTCCAAAAAGTCCTGGGAAGGTGAAAGGAATAGTACACCTTCTTTCTTATAGCAGACCTTGAATCTGAAACCTTGGATAGCATCTCCAGACTCTGTGCAGCTTCCAGAGTGTACCTAGGTACCTTTAGTGACACATATTTGCTTTCTATGTTTATTTTAATGAAAGTGTTTGTGTGTGTAAAATAAACACTCTGTTAATGTATGTTTTATTCTACTGATCCATGACCATAATGAATTATTGATTGATTGACTACTATGATTCCAATATCAGATTGCAGATTAATACATTCTTCTCAGTGTCAGTGCCACCAGTGCTGGTAGATGCACAAGCACCAGCCTCCACAGGCGTTCCACTTTCAAGAACTCCAACAAATGTCATAATTTCAGATGCAGAGCGTGCTCCAGAACCACCTGGCTCTGGGTGGGAGGTCTAAGGAGGAAGCTCAGATGAGCATCAAATGGCTTGAACTAAGAGCGGCTCACCTAGCATTCCAGGGCAAGAAGTCTGTGTCAGATGCCAGGGTGAAATGAGACCTGGAACATTCTGCAAAGAGGCCAGTGAGATGCATATATGGGCCAACTCATTCTTAGAGTCCATAAAAGCAGGACATGTAATTAGAGTTTCCACCCTTGGCTGCAGACTGAGTGAATTATTGCAAGCTTTGCTGTGTGAAGATTCAGAAGGCTGCTAATAAACTTGTTTGTACACCTGGAAAGATATTGTCTGACATTTTTGAGCTTGGAAACCTCTCCCTGTATCTGTGTAGGGAAAACTTTCCATTCCCCCCCCCCCTGTAAACTGAAACCAAGCAGTGCCTCTTCCCCAAAACAAATAGCTGTTCCCAGCTTTACTTCACTGCCTTGATGGGGAGGCACTTCAGAAGACTCCAGAAGGCATTGCCTTTCTGTCTACGGGAAGAATGCATTTGAAAGCAGCTTCCTCCATTGTAGGATGGTGCTTACCATGGCAACCATTTTGTGGTGGCAACCAACTACTCTTTCTCAGAATTTCAAAACTGTGCAGGACAGGCTGTAGGTCACTGAAGATGCGTTGAATAGGATTGACTTGTGAGCTATACGTGGTATTCTGTTACCTGCTTTGGGTCTGTCTTGTAG